CCCGCTCTATCTGCAGATAAATGCAAAAATGTCCTCGAGTGAGGATAAAAAATAAAATAAAATAAAAAAATAAAGTTTGCAAGCATAATTTAGAAGAAATACACCAGATTTATTAGATAGAAAAACAAAGCTTTTTCTCATCACTGATCTGGGAAGATAGCAAAGATTCTCAAAGCAAACCTGAGTTTAGGGTGAAGAGATCAAGAATGTGGCTATAGCCTGGCCAGAGTGGCTCAGTTGGTTGGAGCATCCTTTTGTACAACAAAAGGTTGTTGGTTCAAGGCGACATTTTATATTTCTCTCTCTCTCTCTCTCCCTCCCTCCCTCCCTCCCTCCCTCCCTCTCTCTCCCTTCTTTTCTATAAGCATGTTCTCAGGTGAGGATAAAAAAATAAAGAATATGGCTGTAAAATTCTCTATTAAGACTTCAAAAAGGTTTAAGAGAGTGCCTAGTAGAGCCTCTCAGCTGCACTAAAGGCCTTCTAAGAATATTAAGGGTATAGTCCCATAGCCCTAATATTTTATGCAAAGTAGACAGAAGTCTGTCTTGAAAAATTATGCATGTGGCATTTTGGGGCATGTCATAACTTCTTATCAGATTCACGGGAAAACACAAGTTTTTAAGAGCAGTATACTAACTTGGATCAAAGGGGAAAGAGAAAGTTCAAAATAAAAAGATTTTCTGCCCTGACCAGTGTGGCTCAGTTTTTTGGAACATCCTTCTATATACTAGCGGGTGGCAGATTTGACTCTCCATCAGGGCAAATACCAAGGTTGCAGTTCAATTCCCAGTGTGGGAGGCAGCCTAATGACGTTTCTCTCTCTCCCTTCCTTCCTCTGATATCAGTTAAAAACAAAAATTATTTTTCTGTAGGCAGAAAGCAGGCAGAGAAGTCTACTTAGCTGTAAATACAGACTATTTCTCATAGAAAAGACAGGACCTCTCTGAGAGCAGAGTAAAGTGTCCAGAGAGGGGCTTCAAAAGCCACAGAGTACAGTGGATTAGGCAACCAAATGGGGGAGCAGAGTGGGCCTATTTGGAGGTGCATTTCTAACCCTCCAAGTAGAGCTCTCTGATATTTGTCTGGGTGCATTTCAGATCAGAGGTCATTATGTGCCTCTATTTTCTTCATTTTGTTGAAAGGAGATGTCTATTGTAATTTTTCTATCTCTGAATGATCATTATATGTTGGAAACTGGGGAACAGATAACTTGTTTATTTGGTTCACAGGTCTCTGAACCAAGAGGGACTGCAGCCTCAAAGAGTCTCAACTGCTTCTTGATCTCATGCAAAACACAAGGTTATGGACTCTGAGACTGTGCTATGATTGGATGAGTTTGGGGCATCCAGGAGACAAGGTAAATATATTTTGAATATGAGAGAAATGTGAATTATTGCAGCCAGTTGACAATCCAAGGGAGCGATAATCCAAAGGGTGAGAATGAGACTAGGTCAGATATCTGGGCATCACAATATAAATTAACATTAGATTTAAAAAAAAAAAATACTGTATATAAGCAGAGGACTAAAATGTATCCTATAGCCAAATCAATAAATTGGCAAATATTCATACTGAGTAAATCCAGGGTAGTTTTTCTCTCTGTGTTATTATCAAAAAAGCTACATAAAATTGATGGGGCTACCGTCTGTGCTTAAAGAGTAATCCTGACTATCACCCAGTGAAGACATTCAAAATACAGAATGCAGTCCATGTTCCAAGAGTAGGAGAAACTTGTGTGACACCACCTGTTCAGTAACCCAGAGGTGGTCCCTAGCACCAAAAGGACTCACAGTGGGAGCTTTAGATGTAAAGGAATATAAACAAATTTGACTAGAGGCTGTGTTTGAATTAATAATGGTATATGATTTATTGAAATTCTAATTGTAAGTGACAAGGAAAACAACACAAAAAGATAAAGAAACCCAATTGTGATTGGCGACATTTGTTTTCCTATTTGCTTTCTATAAATACACTATCAGAAGACTCATTTTTCTAAATTTAATAATAATATTTCTTATAAACTGCAATGGAATTTATTTGACACATTTTTATTTTCTCCTTAGTACTAAATACCATTTTATTAAGACTAATTTGAATGCTACAATGTGATGCTTAGAAAAATAAGTTGAATTATCACATAATTCAACTTATTATAAACTGGTTCATTTTCCTGCAGAATTATTTTTTATTATGAAAACACACATAACTATTTTCAGTTTCTCTTTTTTAATATTCTATTCAAAATGAAATTTGAGGATTATCTCTTGAAGAGGCACGTGTGCCAAAATTGTTTATCAGGCAAATTGAAGTGGAAAGTTATTTTTGCTTATAATTTGGAAAATGTCAGCATTTTTAAATGAATTCACATAGTACTAAACACTTTTGCAAAAGAATAACCGATTTAGATAATATTTAGCCTTTTTATTGAATATGTAGTGCAAATTTTATTATATGAAAATGGGAGTAAAATGGGAAAGAAGGTAGAAATTAATTAATCTACCATGCTTCTAAGATGTCTAAATGGCTTTGGAGTAAGATTTCATCATTGACCATTGACTCCCCCACACACACACCCCAGAGATGTTTCCAGGGAAGGGAGCTAAACGCTGTGTGGTCCACTGATATTGAAAGCACATATCACGGATTTTCATGACAGTTCTGATGGTGCTGACAATCACACTATTATGCCTCAGGACCTGTGATCCAATATTGATTTAGGAAATGTAGTCATATGGCATAACTCTCATAACAGGCTGAAAAGAATGGAAACGGTGTGGGGATAAAGGAATAAAAAAGGCCTAGAGCAGGATTCCAAGAGCTGCCCTAAGACCTCAATAAAATAAACATCAGAAGAAAAGCTAGAGTGAGATCATTTATTTGAGACACTCCCAGAAGTAAGTTAGGAATGTGACAAGGAGAGATGCTGAGAGAGTTGTACAACAGAAATGTCAGAGCTGCTCTCAATGAGAGGAACTCATAGATGCTTCAGCAGAGAAATAATTAAACAAATTTTTTCTGCCCCTCAATTTGCTTAAGATCAAGCCATCAGAACTGGCCTTCAATGAATATGAGAAAATAAAAATTAAATTTAGTACTGGCAAACCAAATTCAAATAGAATACACTGCACTCCAATGTTTTATAATACACACTTCATAGGAAGCCCTTAATATAAAAATATCAAGTATTTTATTTTTAATCTTAACATTTTTTTTTTTATTTTTATTTTTTGGTACATACCCCTAGCGGGAACCGAACCCAGGATTCTCTGGTCCGCAGGCCGATGCTCCAACCGCTGAGTCAAACCAGCCAGTCAAGTATTTAATTTTTTTTTTAATTTTTTTTCTTCATTGATATTAGAGAGAGAGGAAGGGAAAGGGAGAAAGAGAGAGAAACAGAAACATCAATGAGGGAGAACATGAACTGGCTACCTCCTGCATGCCCCTCACTGGTGATTGGGCCCACAACCTGGGCATGTGCCCTGACTGGAAATCAAACTGGTGACCTCTTGGTGCATGGCCAGGCAAAAATATCAAGTATTTTAAATTACTGTTCTATTAAGTCCAACAAATGAAACATAACCATTTAAAATTTTAAATTATTTAAGGAATATAAAGGTAAAATTATTATTAATTATAAGAATAAAGTTTCCATCTTCAAGAAACTTCAAGTTTCCATCTTCTCTATGTGTCTTCCTAAGATATGGGTACCTGCTAAAGAATTATTAAAGAGAGATGGGTAGATCAAAAATAAATTATCTTGCCATGGCCAATTCTGCTCAGTGGTTAGAGCATCGGCCTGCAGGCCAAAGAGTCGCACGTTTAATTCCCAATCAGGGGCACGTACCTCAGTTGCAGGTTCTATCCCCAGCACCCATTGGGGTTGTGCGGGAGGCAACCGATCAATGTGTCTTTCCCACATTGACTTTTCTTACTCTCTCTCCTTTCCCTCTCCCACTCTATCTAAATATCAGCGGAAAAATATCCTCAGGTGAGGAAGCAAAAAACATTATAAAAACAATTATTATTATGTGATTATATTTTAATTGCTCTTGACTTGTAGTTAAATAATAGCATGGACTGAAACAAAATTCATAAGCCACATCAGAGCGTCTTCTTTCAAAAATAGGTTTACATGATCATTATAATGGTGACTTGCAAAAAAGAATAATTTCCATTTCAGGGTGTGTGCCGTTATGAGCCGTCTGCACTACCATGTGCACCTGGTTGGGGGTTATTTGCTCATACATGTTATTGTAAGAACAGGCAGTGTGGTCCGGTTATTTGACTATAACTAATTTTATTTCATTTTAAACTAAAGTAACTATTTCTAATCACAAAGACTACTAAACACTCTGACGTTTTCCTAATTTTGTAAAATAATCATGGAATGCTAGAGATACTGAAAATATTTTATTTTTGTTTATTTTCCTTGTTATAACCTTTATATTATGACATAAAATACATTAAAATTTCCTTTAGTTTCCATAAACTTAATAATAATGTTCTCAATGTAACTTTGAATTAAGTACAAAATTGTTTATGATTTTTAAATACTGCCTTTAAAATGATATTTTCTTATATAATGCACAAATAAATATTAATGACATGTTCTTTTCAACTTTTTCTGGTGCAGGCAAAGAAAAATCATAGCTAGGATTAATATAGTTTTTTAATGCAATTCTACAATGGCACAGATTTTACTGAATAATACTTCAGTTTACTCATAAAAATTGTTTTATTTGAACTGTATTTTAAGAAATGTTTTGAATTTTATTGTTTGTTACTATTCTCATTGGTTTCTTAAATTAAATGAAAAAAAGAAAAGAAAATATGCAATCCCAACTCATTTTTTAATCCATAGAATATTCTGAGAAAACATGCACATATATATATTTTTTAATTATTCTGAAAAGAAGAGAAAAATCTTTAAAGTTTTCTCTGAACTTTTTTTTCTCTCCTCTGTTACAGGTATCCATTTTTCAGCTATATTAATGTAATAACACAAAAAGAAATGGACTTCTTCAACTCATCTGATCAAAATTTGACCTCAGAAGAACTATTCAACAAAATGCCATCCAAGATTCTGGTGTCCCTCACTCTCTCCGGGCTGGCCCTGACAACAACAACCATCAACTCTCTTGTTATCGCTGCAATTATTGTGACCCGGAAGCTGCACCACCCAGCCAACTATTTAATTTGCTCCCTGGCAGTTACAGATTTTCTCGTAGCTGTCCTGGTGATGCCTTTCAGCATTGTGTATATTGTGAAGGAGAGCTGGATTATGGGCCAAGTGGTCTGTGACATTTGGCTGAGTGTCGACATCACGTGCTGCACGTGCTCCATCCTGCATCTCTCTGCCATAGCTTTGGATCGGTATCGGGCCATCACAGATGCTGTGGAGTACGCCAGGAAAAGGACTCCCAAGCATGCTGGCATTATGATTACGGTAGTTTGGATTATATCTGTTTTTATCTCCATGCCTCCTCTGTTCTGGAGGCACCAAGGAACCAGTCGAGATGATGAGTGCATCATCAAACACGACCACATTGTTTCCACTATTTACTCAACATTTGGAGCTTTCTACATCCCATTGACATTGATTTTGATCCTCTACTACAAAATATATAAAGCAGCAAAGACATTATACCACAAGAGAAAAGCAAGTAGGATTTCCAAGGAGGAGCTTAATGGCCAAGTGCTTTCGGAGAGTGGTGAGAAGAGCACTAGACTGGTCTCCACACCCTACGTGCTAGAAAAGTCTTTATCTGATCCATCAACAGACTTTGATAAAATTCACAGCACAATGAAAAGTTCCAGGTCTGAATTCAAGCATGAGAAATCTTGGAGAAGACAAAAGATTTCAGGCACAAGAGAACGTAAAGCAGCCACTACCCTGGGATTGATTTTGGGTGCATTTGTGATATGTTGGCTTCCTTTTTTTGTAAAAGAATTGGTTGTTAATGTCTGTGAAAAGTGTAAAATTTCTGAAGAAATGTCAAATTTTTTGACATGGCTTGGATATCTCAATTCCCTTATAAATCCACTAATTTATACAATCTTTAATGAAGAGTTCAAAAAAGCATTCCAAAAACTTGTGCGATGCCGATGTTAGTTTAAAAGGGTTTATTATTACAAGATTGGGTTTTTTGTTTTTTTTTGGTGAAATAACTAAATGAATGCTAATGAAGAAAATGAATAAAAACTGCTAAAATGAAAGAATATAGTTTATATTTTAATAGGGACATGAATTTAAAATTTATTGATATAAAGATGCTTCTTTTGACCATCGTTCTAGAGTACTCAAAAGTAGAAAATAATTTATTGTTTATAAACAGTATCTTGCTTATGCAATATTCCTAAGAGGCTAACTGGAAATATATATACATATATTATTAATAACAGTAGTTTTCCAGATTTGTGTCTTACAAAAAGTATAGAAAAGTGTTCAGTTAACAACATACCTCCTTCCATAATCTCTATACAATCTTCCTGTTTTATTATTATATCATTATTAAGTAATTCTATTATTTTATTTAAAAATACCACAAAGCACACATTTCTCCTTCCTAACCACTTTTCTTCCCTGTCCATCATACCCTGAGCAATAGGAAAGGGGAGAAGGAACTGACAAGAACTCTTACGTACTATGTAAGAGGAAATGTAAAAGTCAGAGACAATGTATTTGTATGTAGATAGTAAAGAGTAATCATAAAGTGAGTTGGGCAGTGCAAAATAATTTAAGATGCTGAATTTGTGCTTATTTAACATATTCTTTTTTGTTTGTTTGTTTGTTTTTATTTTTGTTACAGATATTTCTCCTTTTTTCCCCATTGACACCCTCCTCCCATTCCCTACCTGCCCTGTCCCCAGCTTTGTTGTCCATGTCCATTGGTTATGTGTATATACATATAACTTCTGTAATTTATCTCCCCCCCCCACCCCCTCTTCTGGGGATTGTCAGTCTGTATCCCTCATCCACGTGTCAGGGAATACCCCATTCCTCAGACTGTTATGTTCATTATATTCCACAAATAAGTGAGATCATATGATACTTGTCATTCTCTGCTTGGCTTGTTTTGCTTAGGATAATACTTTCCAGGTCCCTCCATGTCATCGCAAAGAATAAGAGTTCTTTCCTTCTTACAGCTGCATAGTACTCCATTGTGTATATGTACCACAGCTTTTTTATCCATTTGTCTACTGATGGACATTAGGGCTGTTTCCAGATTTTAGCTATTGTAAATAGTGTTGCTATAGACATGGGGGTACATTTATTCTTTCTGATTGGTATTTCAAGCTTCTTAGGGTATATTCCTAGAAGTGGGATCACTGGGTCAAATGGCAAATCAACTTTTAATTTATTGAGGTAACACCATAGTATTTTCCACAGTGGCGGCAAGAGTCTGCATTTCCACCAACAGTATACGACAGTCCCCTCTGCTCCACACCCTGACCAACACTTGTTGTTTGATGATTTGTTGATGGCAGCCATTCTGACAGGTGTGAGGTGATACCTCATTGTTGTTTTAATTTGCATCTCTCTGATGATTAGTGATGTTGAGCATTTCTTCATATGCCTCTTGGCCATTTGTATGTCCTGTTTGGAGAGGTGTCTATTCAGTTCCTCCACCCATTTTGTAATTGGGTTCTTTGTCTTCCTTTTGTTGAGTTGTATGACTACTCAATATATTTTGGAAATTAACCCTTTATCTGATGTATGATTGGCAATGATGTTCTCCCATACAGTGGGTTGCCTTTCCATTTTGATGGTTGTTTCTTGTGCTATGCAGAAGCTTTTGAGTTTGATGTAGTGCCCATTTTCTCCTTTGTTTTGTTGCCTTAGGTGATTTATCAATGAAAATTCTTCTGTGTATGATGTCTGAAATTTTGTTGCCTACATTTTCTTCTAGGATTTTATGGATTCATGAGTCACATTTAAGACTTTTGCCCATTTTGAGTTTCTTCTTGTGTAGGGTGTAAGTTGATGGTCTATTTCATTTTTCTGCATGTAGCTGTCCAATTTTCCCAACACTATTTATTAAAGAGGCTGTCTTACTCCACTGTATGCTCTTGCGACCTTTGTCAAATATTAATTGAGCATAATGCTTTGTGTCCATTTCTGGGTTCTCTCTTCTATTCCATTGATCTATGTGCCTGATCTTGTGCCAGTACCAGGCTGTTTTGATTACAGTAGCTTTGTAGTATAACCTCATATCCAGTATTGTGATCCCACCTACTTTGTCCTTTTTCAAGATTGCTGTGACTATTGGGGTCTTTTTTGGTTCCATATGAACTTTTGAAGTATTTGTTCTAGTTCTGTGAAGTATGTCATTGGTATTTTGATGGGGATTGCATTGAATCTATAGATTGCTTTGGGTAGTATGGACATTTTAATGATGTTAATTCTTCCAATCCAAGAACAAGGTATGTACTTCCACTTTTTTATATCTTCCTCTATTTCTCTTTTCAATGTCCTGTAGTTTTCAGCAAATAGGTCCTTTACTTCTTTGGTTAAGTTTATTCCTAGTTATCTTAATTTTTTTGCCACAGTGGTAAATGGGATTGTTGTTTTTAGTTTCTCTTTCTGTGAATTGATCATTGGTATATAAGAATGCCATCGATTTCTTGACCTTAATTTTGTATCCTGCTACTTTGCCAAATACATTTATTAAGTCTAATAGATTTTTGTTGGAATCTTTAAGGTTTTCTATGTATAATATTATGTCATCTGCGAATAATGACAGTTTCACTTCCTCCTTTCCAACTTGGATCCCTTTTATTTTTTTTCATGTCTGATTGCTGTGGCTAAGACTTGCAGTACCATGTTAAATAAAAGTGCCAATAGTGAGCATCCTTGTCTTGTTCTTGTTCTTAAGGGAAATGCTTTTAGTTTTTGCCCATTGAGTATGATGTTGACTGTAAGTCTATCGTATATGGCCTTTATTATGTCTAGATATGATCCCTTTATTCCCACATTGCTGAACGTTTTTATCAGAAACAGGTGTTGAATTTTGTCAAATGGTTTTTCAGCATCTATTGATAGGATCATATGGTTTTTATCTTTCATTTTGTTTATGTGGTGCATCACCTTTTTTGATTTGCAAATATTGTAACAGCCTTGCATCCCTGGGATGAATCCCACTTGGTTATGGTGAATAAATTTTTTGATGTGTTATTGGATTCAATTTGCTAGTATTTTGTTCAGGATTTTGGCATCTATGTTCATCAGGGAAATTGGCCTGTAGTTTTCTTTCTTCGTAGTGTCTTTTTCTGGTTTTGAAATTAAAATTATGCTGGCCTCATAGAATGAGTTTGGAAGTATTCTTTCTTCTTGAATTTTTTGAAATAGCTTTAGAAGAATAGGTGTTAGTTCTTCTTTAAATATTCAGTAAAACTCTCCAGTGAAGCCTGGCCTTTTGTTTGCTGGGAGAGTCTTGATTACATCTTCAATTTTCTTAGTTGTCATTGGTCTGTTCAAGTTTTCTATTTCTTCCCGGTCCAGTTTAGGGAGACTGTGTGTTTCTAGAAATTTGTCCATTTTGCTTAGATTGTAGAATTTGTTGCCATATAATTGTTCATAGTATTTGTTAACGATCCTTTGTATTTCTGTGGTTACTTCTCCTCTTTCATGTCCGATTTTCTGTATTTGAGTTCTCTGTCTTTGTTTCTTGGTGAGTCTAGCTAAGGGTCCATCAGTCTTGTTTATCTTTTTGAAAAACCAGCTCTTTGTTTCATTGATCCTTTGAATTGTTTTTTTGGTCTCTATGTCATTTATTTCTGCTCTGAGCTTTACTATTTCCTTCCTTCTACTTGCTCTGGGATTTTCTTTTTGTTTTCTAGTTCTTTAAGTTGTGAGGTTAGATAGTCAATTAAAATTTTTTCCTGTTTCTTGAGGTAACCCTGTAGTGCTATGAACTTCCCTCTCAAATACTGCTTTTGCTGCATCCCATAGATTTTTTGTTGTTGTGTGTTTATTTTCATTGGTTTCCAGGAAGTTTTTAATTTCTTCCTTGACTTCGATGGTAACCCATTCATTGTTCAATAACATGCTATTTAGCCTCCATGTTTTCAAATGTTTTTGCTACAATTGATTTCTAGTTTCATGCCATTGTGATCTGAGAAGATGCTTGATATGATTTCAATCTCCTTGAACTTGTAGAAACTTAGTTTGTGCCCTAACATGTGGTCTATCTTTGAAAATGTCCCACTTGCACTTGAGAAGAATGTGAATTCTGTAGTTTTGAGTTATAATTCTCTGTAGATATCTATTAAATCCATTTGAACCAGTGCTTAATTTAGAGTCTTTTTGTTCTTGTTAATTTTTTGTCTAGATGATCTATCCAGTGATGTCAGCGGGGTGTTGAAGTCCCATGCTATGATTGTATTGCTATTGATTTCTCCTTTGAAGTCTTCCAGATGATTTTTAATATATTTTGGTGCTCCTATATTGGGTACATATATATTTATCAAGGTTATATCTTCCTCTTAGCTAGATCCTTTCAGTATTATGTCGTGGCCTTTTTTGTTTCTAGTTATGGCCTTTATTTTGAAATCTAATTTATCAGATATGAGTATTGCTATCCCAGCGTTTCTTTCCTTTTTGTTTGCTTGGAAATTTTTTCCATCCCTTCACTTTCTTCCTATGTGAGAGTTTTGTTGTGAGGTGGGTCTCTTGTCAACAACATATATATATATAAATATATATATATACATATATACATATATGTATATATATGTATATGTCATGCTTTCTTATCTATTCTGCTACCCTGTGTCTTTTTAACAGAGCATTCAAACCATTCTTAAGTTGGTTATTGATATGTACTTATTCATTGCCTTTTTTGTTTGGTGTGTTTATATTTTTCTTTCTATTTCTTCTACTAATTACAGCAGTTCTTTTAACATTTCTTGCAGTGCCTGGTTTGGTGCTAATATATACCCTTAGCCTTTTTTTGTCTGGGAAGCTCTTTATTTAACCTTCTATTTTGAATGATAGCCTTGCTGGATAGAGTAGTCTTGGATTCAGATCCTTGTTTTTCATGACCTTGATTACTTCATGCCATTCCCTTCTAGCCTGTAGTGTTTCTGTTGAGAAATCAGCTCAGAGCCTTA